ATAATAAATAGCTAACAAGCTTTCAAAATGTTTTTATCCTGCTATTTAACACATTCAAATGTATCTCTGGGAAATCTTGATAGTAGAGATAGCAACAAGTATGTGTTGTATATAAGACATACCAGTATTATATTTGTATTACTCAGATGCACGTATCAGAATAAACAGCAGATGATATGGGAAGAGGGATACTTATTCTTGTATCATGGTGTATGGTTGGGAAGATTTTCGAATAGAATTTGGTCCACAGTGTGGAGGTGATTCAGTTGCTAACAGAAAATTAAAACAACAATAATGTAAACGTTTTAAGAGTAGGAGCAACAAACCTAATAACAGTTCTGTCCCAAAGATGTCATGCTTTAATTTTATATAAAATATAATTTCACTTCCCCTCATTTTTAAGATCATATCCTATGAAAAACTATAAAAATAAATGTTTGCCAAGATAACTTAATTGTGGATTTTTCATGCTATATATATATTTATTTATTTATTTAACACACAATAGTTCACATCCCTATTTGGTCATAATACCACATTTAAGTAATTGGCTGCATTGTGAACGTAAGCTTGTATATACAGCTGTGACAGCGGCCATAACCTTTTTATCTAAACAGCTTGTTTTGAAATGAAAAGTAAAATCAACAATAGTGTAATCATCCTTTGCATCTCTGCCACAGCCATACCATAGTTACCTCAGGAATGCACACGCTGGGTTTTGTTTACAGCGGTATGCGGCTCACCTCTAGCCTAGCCGATGAAAGGCAATCTTATTTATATAAAACATTTCACTACAAGTGAAGTTAATGTGCTTTTTACGAAAGGTGGCGTACATACTACAGCTAGTGTGTGGATTAATGGCATAACTTACATAGTAGGTGTGTTGTGTGAGGGCTAGAGGGGTTGTAGCCCCACATGGAAGTGAAAGCAGTGCTCTGTTCATTTCAATGTGAAAGAGCAATACAATTGTTCTGTCACTTACATTAATAAATAATTGTAATAATCATGATCAAAATACTAATAATGATAATTTTGGCCACAATGGTGCAAAATAATGTGTATTGAGTGACATAAAATGTAGTTATTTTTCATTTTGTTGTAGCTAGATTCGAATTAAATGCTATTTGAAAGTGCCACTTTGAAAGTCATGGAAACGTTTGGATAATGAAAAGATGTGCAAGTAAAGTTTTGATATAGTAAGAGGTAAATAATTCCAGTATAATGGTAACTATTCTATAATCCCTATATTTAATATAGATACACATTAGTGCTGGGGTTAGACCTGGGCATCATGAAAAGCTCTAGAGTTATTAAAAAAGTCAATATACCGGTGTGAAAGGTATGGAAAGGGATTTCAAAATATCACAAAAAATATTGTGTATTGCAATATGGCATTAAAATATCTAGATATTACATTTAGGCCATAAAGCCAAGCCCTACATGCAGCACAAAGAATCCAACTTTAAATGCCATGATTTGTTTTTTAAAAGTCTGCTTTCTCAAAAAACTAAAACAAAGCACTTTTCTACTCCGTTTTCCCTCTTCTTACCCCTACCCATCTCCCCCAACTCTCACCCACCCATCTCGCTTTCGCTAGTGTTTCTGTGGGTGAGAGGCAGTCACCAAGGGGACGGGCTGTCATTGTCGCCATGGGGATGGGCTCCACGGAGCATCTCAATTACTGAATGGGACAATTAATAAGCATCAAAGCCTGGTTAATATTTCACCGGCGGCACAGAGCGGCAGCCTGGCCCACAGCGCTCGGGTCCACAGGAGAAGATGTATCATGGAGATGTGGTGGAAGACAAAAGAGAGCAGGAAGCAGAGTGCTGAGACGAGAGGGAGGCTCAGATGAGTGAAGCAGCAGAAGGGCAGAGGAAGTGAGAAAGATGGAGCTGAGGCACACAAGCTACGGTGTTCATCTTAAAGGCAGGAAGTGTGTTATCTAATATGAGTTTATGGCATCATACCGAGGAATTGTATTCTATTTTTCAAAACATGTATCACTAACAATACATTTGGTGCAATACGGACCACATTCCTTTCTTAGTTCTAGTGTGGTTTTGTGTGTATATATTTGTTCTTCATATTTTTTATATACATTTCCTACATATTTATATAATTGTATTTTAGTATTACAATGTATAATAATATTTGTATACTATTCGTTGTATTTCTTTTGTACATTTGTTAGCTCACATTCAATTAATAGGGCTGGTATGTGTCTATTCATGACTATCTACACATTAGTATTACCTGGATTATTTATACAACAGGTCTTTCATTTTGAAAATGACCCTAATAACTAGTAAGACTCTTACTGATCAATTCATACATTTCATATACATGCAACTTATGTATGTAGGTGTACATAGCCCTAAAGTCCCGTGAGAGGGACACTGGGTGGTAAAAGCTTAAAAATGTTCGATGCCAGCAATGGTCTCTTTTTATCTTCCAATCTTATTTTGACACAAATAATTAAAATAATTAGGAGAAAAACTATACGACTCAGACAACCGAATACCTTTTGTCTTATGTTTTCCACCGTTTTTCAGTTGAGTCTTAACTTAACATCTGTCCCCGGAGAGTACCGAAGAGTGAATGGCATTAGGATCATCAGGAGGGAGCCGATGAAACAGGAAGAGGGGGGTGAAAGGACGATGAGAGGGGAATCTCTGTTTGAGAGGGGAGGACGAGGAACAGAAGTAATGGAGTAATGAAGGGAGGACACAGGGGATGTGGGAGGGGCTATGTCGCTGTGAGGCAGATGTATTGGCGAGCCGTCAGCTGATCAATGGGATGTGGTCAATCACCAGAGTTATCCATATGCTCTGACCTTACTCTGATGGCGGAGAGAGAGTGTGCGTGTATGTCTATTTATATGCCAATGTATACCAATAGAGCATTACATAACTTGAAATCAATTTAAGCCCTCCTAATGATCCATATTGTCTATACTTATTCATTATAATAGCGTATTCACTTTACACAGTATTGCAGAATGTAAATATGCTACCCAAGGAATCAAATGTGAAATTGATGATTAAAATTACGTCATGGTTATCTAGCGGAGAAAGAAACTAATACTTTTCAACAAAGAATGTGTTGAAAACATTCAATTTTGACAAAAATAAATAGCAATAATGCAGATCTGTAATAAGTACAGCTATGCAAAGACTATTAGTTTGCATAAACATCAACAAATTGGCTGCCTGAAAAAAGGAACAACTAACTTTGGTAAAAATAGTTGTGAATGTATTTTGTAGGTATTGAGCTAAAAGCAAAACAAAAAATTAAGTTGTTTAAATTGCGTGTCCTCAGCTCCCAGAATGCTTTTCCTTCATCAGCCTTTCTTCTAACCTAAAGCGAGACGAAATAACAACAAAGTGTAGAAGTGGAACAAGATCACATGTTTAACTGGAAACAAATCTGGCAGACCCCAAACAAACAGCTCTTTATCTCCCTTACATACAGATCTACAGTTCAACATCACAGTCCCCGATGCAAACGAGATAACTGACAAGAAACCGTAATAATTCAAAAATAATTTCCCCCTCTAGAGAGCGAGCTGCAAATTATAAGTAATGTAAACCCAAAGTAACTCCGCCATAGCTCCGCAGAGGAAAAATTGGACTATGACTTTGTCTAAGACTGAACTAGTTTCTGCTGAACCACCAGGCACTGTCTGAGCTCAGAGACACACATACAGTCAACTAACACACTGCTGCTCTGCCAAAGAAAGTGCCAAGAGAAATCCGACAAAGATTTAAGAGACATCTTTGATTAAAGGTAACGTCTTTGATTAAAGGTAACGATAAGTCAACCAAACGATCAGTGGATTGACAACTCTTTTTATTATTGTTTAATTCAAAGGTAATTGTCATGCAATAATGGCAGGAAATGCTGCTTTTATATGTAATATGTTAAAATATTATTTGGAGGTTTGTTACTTTCCAAACACCTCAATTGAAGATATCACCTTCTGATAAACCAGAATGTTCACTATTCTGTTGACATTTTATACACCAGATAAATAATCAATGAATCTTTAAAATAATCAACAGATGATTTGTTTATTAGTATTATTATTAGTTCCATGCAGTGGAGTAGCTGTCCTGCCCTACATTTGGGGAAAAGACAGTAATGGTATCTTTGATCAGTAATCTGTAGACCTGAGATGAAGGATCAGTATATTTACCGGAAAAGAAAAAAGTTAGATCAGTGCAGCAGCCCCCCCCCCCCAAGAAAAGGTGCTCTCTGGCCTAGAGTAGTTATTCTAGGAGGCTCTGGTGAAGGGGTGTGTGTAGATGAATGTGTTTTGTGAAGCAGCAAATGAACAAAGTAGACAATTTACTGGATGAATAGGTTATAGAACTTGGTTTTGGATGATGAAAACGTGTGAATCCTGTGGCGAAAGGGCCACACAGCAAACTGTAGCCTACAGTTTGCATTTTCTGCCCGATGCCTTCAAGTAACCACAAGCACCACATCACATGTGCAATGCAAACAAAATCATTCATGTTTTGGAGAATATGAAGGTTTTTTAAACTGCGGCTCCTGTAGGTTGAGGGCCTGGGGTCTGTTATCAAGGGGTGTCCTTGCCTAAAGAAATTCTGATCGACTTCTACTCATATGACTATGTAGCCAAATTCAATTGTATATTCAAACGTCAGATGAGTATACTTGAGGTTCACCACAAATGAACATACAAAAGCAATATTTTAATTATTGTGTTCACCAGAGATGTGCTAATAAGTGTTTTGAAATAAATAATTCAGCATGAAAAATGCATTCGGAAATGATTAATTGTTTAAAGAGATAGAATCGACTAAGACCAAATGAATGATAGGGGATGTAAAGTAGGCAGACCTACAGTTATCAAATGTGGTTTCACCTAAACAAGCACACATTTACCTACATGCAAACCTGTGGCTTTCGGAACCCTGAAGACTACTTCAGCAATGCTCTGTGGGTAACTGAGTCAAACATCTAACACATACCCAGTCCTCGTAGTGCCTAGTCCCGTTCTGCAGCAGGTCTTCCAACTGGATGGTGCAATTGGCCACAAAGTCATCATATCCGATGGGTGCATCATGGAAGACAGACAGCTCCAGACTCCTTCCCTCACGGACCTCAGTGCAAAACTCCTGGTGCCAGGCGGGGCTGTTGGTCTTGGTCCTAGTGGTGGTCTGGCCCAGCCGGGTATGGTCCAGATTCAGGGCCAGGTATGGGTCCAGCAGGAAGGAGCCACTCTTCCCTACAGCGTGACGCAGGGCCCAAGGTGTGGGCTTCAGATCAACTGCCTCACACACTCGCACCTTCAACAGGCCACTGAAGACAGGCATGGCTGCTGGGATGTGTGTGTGCGTAGGTTATATATAAGAGGATGCGTGTGCGTGTGTTCAGGCTAGTGTGCCTGTTCCTTTACACAGTGTTTCCTTCCAATAAGCGGGGTCACTGCACAGTCCTGCTACATCCCATAATGCCGCTGGTTCCTTGGACTCTCACTCTAGTCCAGCCACATCCCAGACCTGTTTTATCCACACACAAACACTTACAGTCCAGCTGATCTCTAATGGGCTGAATAACGCAGTAACAACGCAGACACACACCCTTCAGAGGTCGCTTGCTGAACACTCTCCCACCCGAGCAGCTGCCTTGTTTGTTTATGGTCGGTCCCGTGCGCCACACAAGATTCACAGCGGAAACAGGCCGAGATATAAAACGACAGAAAGGGCGAATGTGGGTTAACGAGCTCCGGTTGGGTTCACGTGAAGCCCCCGAGCGTGCCCACGGTCCGTGTGTCTCTCCCGGGTCAGGGTGGGAGAGAGCGCGAGCAGCCGCGCCTAGCCATCCGGGATTGGTGCTCCGTCCTCCAGCCCCTCGTTCGCTCTTCTCTGGGATAATCTCCTTGCTTCGAGCTGACGGTACCGCGATATTTGCGCGTACTCTCGGAAAACAATGCCTTATTGCCCCCTCAATGCAGTATTTTTCTGGCTCACGAGCACCCCAAATACATCACGGTGCTCTGCTCGCGTTCGTTTTTTCCTCTCTTCAGTGCCTGCGCGCGCCCCCTGTTTCCCGTCGCCTCTCTCTCATGAATCCGTGAGTGAGCGCGAACTGCAGGAAATGCGCAAAACGCGTCACCCACGCTGCCGGGCTCTTGCGCCGGATAAGAGGAAAAGAGAGAGAGAGAGAGAGAGAGAGAGAGAGAGTGTGTGTGTGTGTGTGTGTGTGTGTGTGTGTGTGTGTGTGTGTGTGTGTGTGTGTGTGTGTGTGTGAGAGAGAGAGAGAGAGAGAGAGAGAGAGAGA